ACATTTAAATGTAAAATGCCCTCACTGTATGTGTCTAATGACACATAACTGTATTTCAAAAATACGACAGGACATCCAGTTTCAATGTATTTAAAGCTCAGGCTGAGGGTCAGACCTGTGATCTGTGGGATGTATGGAGTGGCCAGTCTCTCTGTGTTGTATCCGCTGCCGCCCAGAATCTCTGCTATCTTAGTCTGCACAAACAGCACCTCTCCCTCCACCTTCTCCAGCTTCTCTGGGATCCTGAAAGAGAAAGAGGCTAAAGATATTCTTCAGCTTTATATGGGTACACTTTTCCGAGGTAGTAGAAACCAGACGGATAAGAGATCTCTGAATGTTTTGTGGGTTTAATGCCTTACATAACCATTTGCTCAGCACATCACAGCTGAAAATGTCCCAAGGATGATCTTATTGTGAACTGAAAGACACTGAACTGACTAGAAACTGTACAGTATGTTCTCTACCCAGTACATACGTTTGTAAGAACTGAGACAGAACTAAGCATTTCTGTTGGTTTATTAGTGTGAACCACGGCAGAAAAGCAGTTTCTCTCATAATGGTGAAAAGAACATTATGGTAGTTTGAACAGTCTATGTAAGTGTTGCTTACTTTGAGCTCTCAACAAGAACATCCTCTGGCAGCAGGAAAGGGACGAGTTTCTTTCTTGACTCAATCACCTGTGGGGAAAAAACAGACAGACAGATAGATAAATCTATAGATACAGTAGATAGATTCACAGACAGACAGATAAATGGATCGATGGAAGGACCGACGGACAGACAGACGGGCAGGCAGACAGACAGACAGATAGGTCTCACCTCATGGACATGTTGGCAGAAGGTAGGCACAGTGGTCAGCTGACAGATGAGGTTCAGGTACACAGCTGACAGAGCGTGGATGGCACAGCGGGCATATACAGGAAGAGCCTCTTCAGTCAAGGCCAGGTCCTGAGGAAGAGGACGCATCAGGGGAAATGAAAAAAGGCTGAGAACTATTGTTATTGTACTCTTATTGTACTGACATAATGTAAGTTAGTGAGTACTTGAGCATAATGCAAAGAGATGCCGACGTAAAGGTCGACTTGTGTTAGGTTTGAAAATATATATTAATTAACATATATCATTTTGCTGACCCTATGTGTCCACTGGCATATTTATTCAGCCCCACAGCCATGTACATATCACAGAGGTGAGAGAAATGACCTGTAATGCCAAAGCCAGTCGGATCAGGTCCACCACCACCTCCTCATTGGCCAGCTCCACACAGATCAACCCCAGCAGCGTATAAAGAGACTCAAAATGCAGCTGGACGCTGCTCTCCTCTTTGCAGGCTAGGTAAATGTGGCGGTATAGCCTCTGGCTGTGTTTCTTCATGAACAGGTTATCCTGCCTTGAGCACTTGTCTACTTTCAGCTTCAGTACTGAGATATCTGAGATAATTCTGTTGAAAACAATAGTAAAATGCACTGTAGAATCTTTTGTCAGGTAACTCTCAGGGACCTACTGTAGCAAAACATACTGTAGCAAAACACTTTGTGCAATTAAATAATATCAATTTTTAAAACGTATATAAGATCAATTCATACAGTGAAATGTATGGTAGCAAGAAATACATTTTTAACCAATAACTAACCAAAAGCTTTTATAAGCATGGTATTACAATATGTGACCCTGGGTATATTTGTAGCAATAGCCAAAAAAACATTGTATGGGTCA